TCTGTGGTGAGATTATATGTAAATGAATGGGCATGGCTGTGTTCTAACAGAAGTTTATTTACAAAAAAACAGGTGGCAGGCCACCTCTGCCTTACAGGCACAACTGCCCCAGGTCCTCATCATAAATTACTGAGGAGTTAGAATGGTGACCCCTGCTCCTCCCAAATCTCCCGCAGGCAGAGCTGAGGACGACCTCTCTTCGGGTCCCCCAGACTCATCCCTGGGAGCTCACAACTGGCAGAAGGAGACAAGGGGGCTCCAAGTAGCAGCCGTGGGGGAGTGGTGGTCTCCAGCTTCAACTGCCGGGCCATGAAAACAGGAACTAGGACTCCGGACCACTGTTTCTCTGAAACCAAAGCTCAGCAACCAAAAAAGGATCAAAAAAGCAGATGGTGGAGGTGGAGCAAGGAAGCTGCACTTCTCAGTGCCCCTGGGCTGTCCTCAGCCCCACCTCTGGCACAGGTGGTTCAAGGAGCCCAGGACTCCACAGTGGGTCCTACCCTTGCGGGTGAACTGCCTTCTCTCCCAGCCTCCACAGTCACACATTCCAAACAGAGACACCACCACCTCCCTGGCCTACCACTTGAGAAATTACAGAAAGAAAACAAAAGGTGGCTCATGTTTGGGCCAGCAGCCTGTCTAGCTATGGACTACACAAAAATAATAAAAACAAATGATAATACTGGCTTTGATTTTCCTTTTCTTTTCCTTTATTTGTATTTTTTTTTTTTTGAGACAGGGTCTTGCTGTGTTGCCCAGGCTGAAGTGCAATGGCGTCATCATGGCTCACTGCAGCCTCGATCTCCTGGGCTCAAGCAACCTTCCTATCTCAGCCTTCCGAGCAGCTAGGACCACAGGTGCACACCACGATGTCCAGCTAATTAAAAATAATTTTTTTTGTAGAGACGGTCTCACTATGTTGTCCAGGCTGGACTCAAACTTGTGGGCTCCAGCAATCCTCCCACCACGGCCTCCCAAAGCTGTGGAATTACAGGCATGAATTCTAGGCAGCTGTGATCTACCAGGCACCCTGGTGGGTGGGTGGGTGGGTGTTCACATATAATATGATCCCCACAACAACGCTATGAGAAGGCAGGCATGGTCCTCACCACCACCTTACAGGTAAGGAAAGCAGAGGTTCAGAGAGCTCAAGGGACTTGCCCATGCACACACATGCTTGTCATAAGAGCTGGGATTCACTCCCAGGGGTGCTGACTCCACAGCTGTGCTTCTTACTCTCCTGTCTGCCAGGCATGAGGAGAGAAAGAGAAGCAGCCTGTTTCCCAGTTGGAAGGGGCCCTTCCAACCTATTCTTTTTTTTTTTTTTTTCTTGACACAGGGTCTCACTCTGCTACTCAGGCTATAGTGCAGTGGCACAATCACAGCTCATGGAAACCTCCGCCTCCCAGGCTCAGATGATCCTCCCACCTCAGCCTCCCAAGTAGCTGAGACTACAGGCGCATGCCACTAAGCCTGGCCCATTTTGTTTATTTTTTGTAGAGACAAAGTCTCCCTATGTTGCCCAGGCTGGCCTCAAACTCCTGGACTCAGGCGATCCTCCCGCCTCAGCCTCCCAAAGTGCTGGGATTACATATGTGAGCCACTGCTCACGGCTCCTTCCACCCTAATCTTTCCATTTGGAAGATAAGGACGTGCAGTTCCTGCCCCCACAACAGCAAGGGCAGGGTGGAGAGAAAGAGAAGGAAGAGGGCATAGGCCTCCCCTGGGCCAATGGTCCTGCTAGGGCAGGTCTGCCTCCCCAAGGCCCAGGTCCACCTGCCTACTGCAGTCATCACAGCCACTGCCTCCTGGAAGTGACGTCACCATGGCCTGTTCCACATTCTGGACAAACAACTCCACCTCCTTCTCTTCCAGCCAATTGAGAACTCAAGCTTAAGGTTACTGATATTCAGCTCTGTTGGGCAGGGATACCTGCTAGATGGAAAAGCTGCCTGGGCCAGACCTGTGTGCTTTGGTCAGAATGCTCCCCTGGCAGTCCCAGAGCACCTGGAGACCCATTCCAGACAAGGGCACCACATCGAACAGCCAGCAGCTTCACAGGCCTTTGCTGCCTCCTGGAGATGCATGACTCACCTTCAGGCTCCAGTTCTAGAGAGTCTCAGAGGTCTCCAATCCATTGTTTCCCAAACTTATTTGGCCATGGACCCTCTCCTGCAGATTCCTGCTGTCCTACAATCCTCAGCCTCATCCCACCCTCTTTGCCCCTCCCAGACTCCTCCCATTTCCCCTGTCCCCACCAGGGCCCAGATCAAGCCTGACCTGCCACAAGTCCACTATGTGCCCAGCCCCACATAGCCCTGAGCCCACCTGCAGGAGTGGACTTGGCCCACCTCCTCCTCGACCCCCACATCGAGCAACTTTGTGGGGAAGGGAGATAAGCAGGAAGGAAAGAGGCTCACAGCCAAGCCTGGGTGGAAAGAGCAAGCTACAAGCAGTGTGTCCTCTAGGATACTATTTTGTGGTGGTTGTTGAAAAAAAAAAACATCTGTGTATCTATGCATAGAAAAACATGAAAGACATGTATCAAAATATTAAAAGTGACTATTTAAAGTTGGGGGATAGATCAGCAAATTTTTTCTGTCAGGGGCCAGAGAGGGGCTGAAGGTTGAGGTGATCACCAGTGGCCAGTGATTTAATACAACATGCCTACATAATGGAGCAGCCATAAAAACCCAAAAGCACAGGGCTTGGAGAGCTTCCAGGTTGCTGGACATGCAGCAGTGGTGCATCCGGAGGGGGCCTGGATGCTCCGCATGCCTTCCGCATACCTAACCCTATGCACCTCTTCCACCTGGCTAGGCTGTACCATTTTATGTGGTACTGTACACCAGTCATCTAGCAAGTAAACTGCTCTCCTGGGTTCCATGAGCTCCTCTGCAACTTATGGAACCAACTTCTGTCTGTTTGTAGCCAATTCAGACAGAAGTTGCTGGTAATCTGGGGACCTGCTACTTGTGACTGGTGTCTGCTATGGAAGGCAGTCTCTCAAGGGACTGAGCCTCTGTGCCCCTCCCAGACCCCTTCCATTTCCCCTGCCCCTGCCAGGGCCCAGATCAAGCATCAGAGGTGAATTTAATTGTAGGAAACCCAGCTGGTGTCAGAGAACTGGTTGTGAGTGGGGGAAAAAAACCCCACATTTGGTCACAGAAATGACCTGTGTTGTACTGAGTATAAAGTAGGGCCAGGCACAGTGGCTCACGCCTGTAATCCCAGCACTTTAGGAGGCTGAGGCAGGAGATCACTTGAGTCCAAGAGTTTGAGACCAGCCTGGGCAACAAAGTGCAACTCCCTCTCTACAAAAAATACAAAAAATTAGCCAGGTGTGATGGTGCATGCCTGTCGTCCCAGCTACTCAGGAGGCTAAGGTGGGAAGATCACCTGAGCCCAGAAGGCGGGAGTTGCAGTGAGCTGAGATCACACCATTGCACTCCAGCCTGGATGTCAGAGCAAGATCTGTCTTTAAAAAAAAAAAAAGAGAGAGAGTATCAGGTAGAAGAAAACAGTAAGTTTGCTTTATTCTACTAAACAAGTTGTGGCGAAAAGAAAGAGAGATCAGACTGTTACTGTGTCTATACAGAAAGAAATAGACATAAGACACTCCATTTTGTTCTGTATTTGAGATGCTGTTAATCGGTGACCCTACTCCCAACCTTGTCCTTGCAAGAGACATGTGCTGTGGTGACTCAAAGTTTAACGGATTTTGGGCTGTGCAGGATGTGCTTTGTTAAACAAGTGCCTGAAGGCAGTATGCTTGTGAAAAGTCATCACTATTCTCTTAATCTCACGTACCCAGGGACACGTTCACTGCCAAAGGTCGCAGGGACCTCTGCCTAGGAAAACTAGGTATTGTCCAAGGTTGCTCCCCGTGTGATAGTCTGAAATATGGCCTCGTGGGAAGGGAAAGACCTATCGTCCCCCAGCCTGACACCCGTGAAGGGTCTGTGCTGAGGAGGATTAATATAAGAGGAAAGAAGGCCTCTTGGCAGTTGAGATAGAGAAAAGCATCTGTCTCCTGCCCGTCCCTGGGCAATGGAGCATCGAGGTGTAAAACTCGATTGTATGTTGTTTACTGAGAAAGGAGAAAACCGCCTTAGGGCTGAAGGTGGGATGTGCTAGCGCAATGCTGCTCTTTATGCACTAAAAAGGTTTATGGAGATATCTGCATATGCGTCTCAAGGCACAGCACTTTTCCTTAAACTTATTCATGTCACAGAGATCTTTATTCATATGTCTTACTGCTGACCTTCTCCCTACGATGATCCTATTATCCTGCCACTTCCCTTTTTCTAAGATGGTAAAGGTAATGATCAATAAATACTGAGGGAACTCAAGAGACCCAGGAGCAAAAGCCTACGGAAGGCATTCCAGGCACTGTGGCTCTTAGATCTCAGATAGGCCAGTATTCCGAAGGACCTCAACACAACCCACAGGAAAACAAGCATTTCTGCTGCCTTGTCAGCAGGGACAGCCACAGCCCTGGTGTGACGCCAGAACTTTACCTCTACCATACTTTCCCTCATCCCTCACCACTCCTTAAAAGCTGGAATGAACAGATATCTGCCTTCCCATTGGGTTTTTGGGGAGCGTGAGGCTCAGAGGAACCAAATAACTTCATCCACACCGCAGACGACAGTGGACAAAACAAGATCCACTGGCCAGCTCACTATCCTTTGCTTTTTCAACAGCCCTCTACCCTACCCTCTTGAGATGCCCATTCCTGTTTCTCTTCTTGACAGTCTCCCCTGAGCACACACAGGCTTTATTGCTTCCGTGGCTTCCTGAAGCGTGGTCCTTCCCACTGAGAACGCCTCTGCACACTCCTGTCTGACAAGATGTGACACAAGCCAGTCCCCACTGATCCTCCTGGGAGAGGATGTGTGCACAGGCCAGAGAAGAGGGAGAGAGCAGCCTTAAGGCCACGTCAAAAGTCTGAGCCCAGGGGAATTGTTCCCACACTCACTCAACTACCAGTGACCTACCCCTTCTTCAGGTTTTTCACATAGGCGCTCTGGAGGGCAGCTTCCAGGAAGTAGGTGAGCTCATAGTCAACCGGGTGACAGCCTTTCAGATGCCTCGACGTGCTGTTATTTGTGGTCTGGGAAGGGGAACAGAGAGAGAGCCATTGTCTCAAAGTTCTGAAGCAGGGGGTCACTCAGCAAGAGGAGGTGGCCTCATCACCATCCCAGTCCCTGCTGTTCAGGGGCACATTGCTGCAATTCTCAGACCAGGCTCCATCTAACTTGCTTTAACTCAAAATATGTCTAAAGCATTCTCTCCCTATCCAACTGTTAGATGCCCACAAGCCCTGTGTTTTTTTTTTTTTTTTTTTTTTTTTTTTTTAAGAAACAGGGTCTTACTATATTGCCCAGGCTGATCTCGAACTCCTGGGCTTAAGCAATCCTCCCACCTCGGCCTCCTAAAGTGATGAGATTATAGGCATGAGCCACCACACTAAGCCCCTAATATTCATTCAACAATCACAGAGCTTTAAATTCATTAACTCACTTAGTCCTTAGAGCAGCTCTACTAAGCAGGAACAGTCATCATTTCCATTTCACAGGTGAGAACAGAGAGGGTCTCTTCCTGCCCCAAGGCCACTCAGGTTGAGGGGTGGTGGCAGAGCCAGCGCAGTCAGGTTCCCCTCTCCATTCTTACCCCCTACTGCAGGATGACTTCCCTGTCTGTACAGAGCCATGCTGAGCACTCGCTCTTCAACCAGACAGCACTCATTGTCTGAGCACGTGGTAGAGAGACCAATTCATGCAGCATTGCTGCCCTGTTCTGTGTATGCAAACCTCAGCTCCTACCAGACTTCACTCCCACAGGACAGGAGCTGTCTCCTTAGTCTCACTGCTGTCCACACCTCACCTCCAGTTAAGGAAAGAGAAGGGGAAATGAAACTCTTACAAAATCGCCACCCAAGCCCAAATCTTATTTATGTCTCACAACTGTCCTACAGGGCTGGTTTTATTTGCATTTCATCGATGAGGAAACTGAGGCTCAGAAAATGTCTAAGGTCAAAAGCGTAAATTAGACGTGGTGGCTCACATCTGTAATCCCAGCACTTTGGGAGGCCGAGGCAAGAGAATCACTTGAGGCCAGGAGTTCCAGACCATCCTGGGCAAAAGAGTGAGACTCTATCCCAATCAATCCATCAATAATAATTTAATGCATAAAGTCACAAAGCTGGTGTCAGTCTGGACCTCAAACTCAAGCCTAGCCAGGAACGGATTCCAGGCTATTTGCACTATGTATCAGTTAATTCATTCCACAAACATCTGAGTGCCTGCCAGGCACTGTACTGTCCCTGTCAAACAAGCATGGAACATCAGAACATCCAGAGAACTGAGACACCCCCTGGTTCCAGGAAAAGCTGAGGAACAATTACATCATTAACTGAGCTGTTGCTTAAAAGCCTCAGCCCTAACAGGGTCCTCCAGCCCAGCAAGACTGGCCTGCCTTCTGTATACCATTTCCTTTGTCTAATCTGAGGGGAAAAAAATCTGAGGCATCCGCCTCCTCTTTCAGAATTCAGAGTAGATTTAAGAGAGGGTCTTAGTTCCTTAGAGGTCAGGACTAGGTCTCAGGAGGGACACACAGCATTTCTGAGGGTGCACAAGGTTCTATGGCCTGCCCTCCCTCAACTTAAGATAACAACTATAGGGCCCCATTTGTCTGCCCACTGCTACCAGGCACTGATTCCGGCCCTGGACATCATCATCAGACATTTGATAGGGACAGTACAGTGCCTGGCACTATAGCTCATCCCCTTAATCCCCTTTTGAAAGTCCAAAGCCTAGGCTTCCAGATGAGCAGCAGATGTTATCTTTTCCATGAAAGTTTCCTCCCAACCACATGCAATGCAAACATGAAAAACTCCTAAAACACTACTACTGTCTAGCAGTGACCCATTCCTCTTTGGTGGAGGTCAGCTCAACCATGCTGAGTCTCTAAGTGGCCTCTGCCAGAGAACAGGCACTCAAGTCCTAGATTTGCTGAGCCCATCAGTCACTTCTCCTTTCCTCCTGAAGTCCAATCAAGGAGACATCTTCTAGAGCAGTGGCTGTCAGCAGGGGGGTGACTTTGCCCTCAGGGGACAGTTGTCAGTAACTGAAGACATTTTTGGTTGTCACACGAGGGGGATAGTGCTACTGGCATAGTGGGGAGAGGCCACGGATGCTGCTAAATATCCTATAATATACACGGCAGCCCCCCGCCCCCACCACCAACAAAGAATTCTCCAGTCCCAAATATCAACAGCACTGAGGTTGAGAATCCTGCTCTAGGGGAAATGACCTGGCCTGGGGTAGACTCCTCCAAAATGGCCCATCACAAAAATGGGTACCGGACTGACATTTTGGCATCTGCCAAGGCAGGTGAGGTGCAAGTGTCTCCTGGGCTCTAAGTCTCTCAGTCCATGACCACCTCCTCCTTCAGGGCACCAACCCTAATCTACTCTGCTCTAGAACCTTCCATCTAACATGTTAAATATCTACTCCACAGCATACCTAAGCATCACCCCCAATATCTTCCCTGCGAGCATTCAGAGCCACACTCCCTGGGTTCAAATCCTGCCAATACCACTTATTAATGAGGTAAGCTCTGGCAGGCTAACTCCTCCTCAACAGGGCCTATTTCATCCAGTCAGTGTGAGGGTTAAATCACAGAATGAATGTAAAGTGCTTGGAGTTGTGTCTGACACAAAAGCAGGCACTCAAGAAGGGCTAGCAGGATCTCTGTTGAATAGTTTCCTGTCCCCTTAGCATTGAACTAAGGACCCCTCATGGCATAGTATTAAGATGTGGAGGGAAAAAGAATAAAACGGAGGCCGGGCACGGGCCTATAATCCCAGAACTTTGGGAGACTGAGGCAGGCAGATCACCTGAGGTCAGCCTGGCCAACATGGTGAAACCCTGCCTGGCCAACATGGTGAAAACCATGTCTCTACTAAAAATACAAAAATGGTGGCAGATGCCTATAGTTCCAGCTACTCAAGAGGCTGAGGCAGAAGAATCACTTGAACCCAGAGGCGGAGGTTGCAGTGAGCTGAGATCGTGCCACTGAACTCCAGCCTGGGTGACAGAGCAAGAATCCATCTAAAAAATAATAATTAATAAAATGCATAAAAATTAAAAGCAAAAAAAAATAAATAAACCAGAGCCTCCCAGAAGGGGAAGGGCTGGGATACTTACCACAAACGCTGCTACCACCTGTACTTGACACCCTGCAGACAGTTAACCCAGACCCACCAAAGGGAATGGAGAGGGAGGGAGATCTGAAAACTGCCAGGGCCCTGGTGACCAGCTCTTTCACCAGCCTCTGAAAGGCTTGGAGAAGGAATCCCAAGATCCTGCTTCCCCACAGGATCCAGGGAGGAGCTTCTGGGACACGGAGAGCAGGGAAGGATGTCCAGCTGCAAGACCCAGGCGGACTCCACCCCTGCCAGGGAACGAATGGTGAGCAAATGATTCAATCTCCTAAAGCTCATCTATTAAACAGGGATAAGTACAACACCCACCTCAGGGGTGGCTGTGAGGAGTCAACAAGGTAAGGGATACAAACAGGGCTGTCATGTTTGGTGCTGCAAGATGAGCTCACCAAGGAGTTCCTGGTGCCTAGCAGATGGCATGGACTCATCTATCTATTAAACTACTTTCCAGTAAAGAGTCTCATTCTAGTGGAATCAGTATACTATAATGAGTTCTCCAACCTATGAAGTAGAGTTCTTTGGGGGACAGAGAAGGTGCCTTCTAATTAGCACGCAGGTGACCTATGGGTTTAGTGGGATCTGTAGATACAGGTGCTCAATAGACAGCAGCTCCTACCACGGTGTTATTTCCAGCTCACCTTCTCCAATTCCTGCAGGAACACCTGAGCGATCCAGGATGCCCTCTCAAAACAGGTGATCACTTCCTCCTCCCTCTCCGTCAGGCGGAAGCGGGAAGCGATGGAGTTGGGTAGGCGTTCCAGAGAGAGGCCTGCAGGAGGAAGAGGGCGCCTCAGACCTGCCCTGCTCGGGCCCCCTGACTCCAGGCCCTCCCCATGGGCCCAGGGTGGGCTCATCCGAGGGGGCACACACTCTGGTGCAGCCAGGAGGAGGCGGAGGTCTGCGGAGGGGAGAAGGAAGCTGAAGCGACGGTGGTGTTAGCAGTGGCTGGGAGTAAGCGATGGGACAGCACGTGGGGAATCACATTGCATCACCCCAGCCCAACTCCCCGGGAAGCCACTCCTCACCCCTCCTCTGTAATGGAGTATCCCCATTTTTCTAAGCAAAAGGAGGTTTTTTAAAAAAACGTATTTTTTTCTTTCCTCTTTCCTTTTCCTGTTCCCCACTTCCTACTTAGCTCTTTAGAAATGCAAAACCTTTACCTTCCCTTCACCAGACACTCCCTACACAGCAAGCTTATCCATGTGCTGACTTAGAAGCTCCAGAGCCAGAACTTTCCCACCAGGAGACTGCCTCTAGAGATAACAGTCAATTCACATCCTCAAGTGTGACTGAGAAGGAACTCTCTCCCAACCGGAGAGTATCTTGAAGCAATGCTCACTTTACAACCTGGCTCTGCCCACGAAGGTGCCAGCTCGACTACCTGCTAGGTAAGGCACCAAGGCAAGTCATGCAGACCCTGCACCTGCTTGCTCCCTCCTCTGCATGGCATTCATGCCAAGTCCCCCTTTAAAAGCCCCGGCTTTTTGCCCAGGAAGTGAAGTGGTTATCTTTTAAGGCAGGAGCCTGTACCTCTTCCCCTAAGCTAAGCTTTGGAATAAAGTGACTTTCTTTATTCCAGACCTCACTCTTGTTAATTGGACTCTGCAAGTGGCGAGTGACTGAACTGCATTTCAGTTACAATTTTGGTGGCCCCTATGAGGACTGCAGCACACTTCGGATGACTGAGCCTATCAGCCTGGTTTCACTATCAGGCAAGGTGGGGGATGCCTGGGAGCGCCAGCTGCTCCTGGCTACTGGACTCTAGAATAGAAATGTTAAGGGGATTTCTCAGCAGCTGCCAAAATGTTCTTGTTTTGGGGAACCTCCCTTTCACCCCCTGGCATGACATCTGCTGCCTCCAATGCTTCACTGGTACAAAGAAAGTGACCTCTGAAGAAGCCAGCAACCCTGAAACTGCGTGAGCAAGCTAGACTCTACCTGATGTTTTTCTGTCTCTTCTGGGTGTCCCTGGGACTTCACTCTGTGAAGACTTGGCCGCTACTGGCATCATTTGGGCATTTTGAGCATTTCCATCTGTGGCACTATAGGGACTCAGCTGCCTGTCAAGGTTATCTCCAGCTGAGGCAGGGGGTTCAGAACTCCACTCAGGCCCTGGAGTCCCTCTACTCAGACGGGGATTTTGTTTGGAAGCACGCCGTTTGTTTGTGTGAATGTAATGACTGTGTACCGGCTGATTTCTTTCTTTCCTGAGCTCCCTCCGGGTGGAAACCGTTCACCTCAACCGGTGACCTGCGGCAGTGGGAGGGATCGCTCCTCCGCCGCACCGGGCACTGAGGCCCTCCCTGACCGGGGATAAATGAGGGTAGCAAGGGTATCCCTGCACCGTGTGGTGGCTGGAAGGCTCTCAAGCTCCTCTTCTGTCACTCTACTTTTTCCTCTCTCTTCCCATTCTCTCTGTTATGCCACTCTTGGAGAACCTGGCTGTGCTGCAAAAGCCAGCCAGAAATTTCATACTCTTATCTCCTCCGTAAAATGCAAGGACAAGTTTCTCCCCTTCCCTTCACTTTGCTGTTCCACAAGCCTCATTTTCAGGGGCTCCATTCTGTTCCTGGGCCTTGGATTTAAAGAGGGAATAGGATTGGACATTGGCAACAAGGTCTCTGGCCCCTCAAAGAGCCCCTTGGGGTGCATTTTGGTTAATTGAAAAGCATACAGTTGTAAGCCCATGACTAGGAAAAAGAGGATCTTTTACCATAATACTATCTGGACCCAATACCACCTGGGCAACAATGAATTCTGGCCTGAAGATGGGGTTACTTGGTTACACTTGCAGTTGTTAGAAGAAAAACATCCACTCTCCTGGTGCTCACCATTTTCTACACTGTATTTTGGTAATCTCTGGCCAGCTCTTCTCTCCCCAACTAGCTGAAAGCTCCATGGGGGCAAATATGAACCTTTTTGGACAACCACAACCCTTGCACAGCACCTCACACAGTAGGTGCTCAAGTTATGCAGCATTTTACATGCACGCTTCCCATGGAACCCAACAGTTCCTCCCTGCAGAAGTTACCCATGCTTAGGTCTCTGCCTGCAGGGGACGACCACTTTCCCATTTATCAGTAATAAATGGGACCTTCCTCTCCTTTTGACCACCTCTCCTGCAATCTCAGATGATCATGACCGCCACAGCAATCAGCTAAGTGTGGGCACATGGCCCAAACTGGGCCAATAAAAAACAGTCTCAGAATTGTCACTCTTTCCACTGGGGTTGTTAAGCTGGTATCAGATATCAGTTTAGAAATGTTAGAGAAAACCTGCCTTAAAATGAAGTCTACAAAATGTGAACATAAATAACACTACTGAAGTGTACATTTAAAAATGGTTTAGATGGTAAATTTTATGCTGTATGGGGCTTTTTGGCTGCAATTTAAAAATTTTTTAAATAAAAGCTTCAAGGCCAAAACCAAAAAGCTCAAAAAATAAAAACAATCTGTAAGAAACAAAGAAGGGATATAGCATTGTTAGCCATACTAGAAACTAATGCTGTACAGAAAAACAACTCTATTTGCATCAGGTTACTTTTTTTTAAGACAGCAAAAATACTGAATAAACTCTTAGTCACAAAAAAAATGAAATCCATGCAAAGAAAAGGTAAGACATGATGGAGACGAGTGGATTCCTAAAGAGACTGAGTACCTAGATCCAGCTTTGCCTGAAGCTCTACCTGCTGGAACTTTCCAGTGTATGAGCGCCATTAAATACCTCCCATGTCTTCTCTCTTCCTCCCTCCCTCTCTCCCTTCCTCCCTCCCGCTGTCCCTTTTTTTGTCACTTGCAGCTAATATAGACCTGACTAGAGACTGCTGTCCTTCTCAACTATTGTTTCTCAACGGGGAGAATCAATGTCTGTCTCATCTTTGTGCCCACACGGTACTTTAGGTACTTTACATGTGAAGACGAACTTACTGAAGGAATGTATAATAGAAGAATCCTCAATTGTTTCCTGCCCTATAAGCCCCAACATCCACGTAATGACCAAGTCCTCAAACCTTCCCTTCCTCTCTTCCTACTACTTTATATCATGTTTTATGTCTTGAGTGGATGACTATATTGGCCTCCTAACTGGCCTCCCTGCCTCCAGTCTCACTTTAATCCCCAGGGGGATCCTTCTAAAACTCTCCAGGGGTCCATACTGCTAAAGAGTAAGGTCCAACCTCTGGAGGCTCCATACCAGGCCCTCCTGGTATCAGTTCTCCAGCCTCATCTCTTGCCTTACCTGCCACATCCACACCCAACCTCCTGCTCCCAAATGCTTGGTTGTAGGATGCCTTCTTGACTCGCTCAAGTTGTTCCTCCTGCCTGGAATGTATCCACCCCACCAAGTCTACCCAAAATTACTGTTCACATTCTGATCTAGTAAATGCTACCTCCTCTACAAAGCCCTTCCTGATAGTCCCTGGTATAACCAAACATTCCTCCTTTAAGCCCCAGTCTATACATATTCCTAACTCACCATTTCTTATACTTATTTGTTCATATGTTTCCCCAGACTGTAGACTCCCTTCAAGACATCAACCTAATCGTGCTTACTTTTCTACCACCTGGCACACAGTAGGTACTGGACAAGCATTTGCTGGCTGGATGAAAAAACACAAGCCTGGTCATGTCCGACAGAAAACAAAGTGCTCTGCAAATACAAGGTAAGGAATTATTGTTTTTCTTAGCCACATTCCCATGCACACAGATTCAGTGACCTTGTCCTTTGCCAGGCTGGGGTGTGACCAGATCCAAAGTTCGGGTGCCTTGGCCTGGAGGAAGGCGGGCACAGAACATGAAGGTCCTTGCTCAACACGAAGACCCAGGTGCCTGGGTCACTGTGTGTCAACGTGCCTCCTGCCAAATGACTCACAACCAGGAGAGGGAGGATCCTCATTCCAGAGGACTAAAGGGGGAAGAGGAACCGAGAAAGAATCAAGGAGGCAGGCCTCGTTGCTCACTGCCAGAGCTGGGCCAGCCCCTGCTCCCTAGACATGCAGCCTATCCACCCTGCAAGAAGGTGGGGCGAACCTATGAACTGTTGAGAGGCCTGGCCCAGGAGACCAACTGCACGTGGCAGGGCACAGCCAATTCCAGGGGACATAGAGTGGATCTGTTTCAACACAGCTGCCCTGTGGTCCCCAGAGAGATGTGCTGAGACTGGGCTCCCTCCTGCCACACCTCTGGGTCCAGCACTGGAATGGGTGATGCCAGCTGCTGTCAAGTTCAAGCTGCCAGTTCCAAGCCTCCAGAGGGCTGGCCACTGCAAAGCTGTGAATTCAGGAAAAATGGTCTGTGGGGCTTCCACTTTCCCTGTGTGGCATTTGTTCCTTCCACTCTCAGCAGGGACCTCCCCACCATGCTTCTCCAAGAACCTCAAATCCCATCCTCCTTGAAAGCTCAAAGTAGGCCAGGCAAAGTGGCCCACATCTGTAATCCCAGCACACTGGGAAGCCCAGGCAGGCGACCGCCTGAGCTTAGGAGTTTGAGACCAGCCTGGGAACGTGGTGAAACCCGGTCTCCCCAAAAATAGAAAAAATTAGCTGGCCTTGGTGGTGCACACTTGTGACTCTAGCTACTCAGAAGACAGAGGTGGGAGAATCGCTTGAGCCCGGGAGGCGGAGGCTGCAGTGAGCCAAGATTACACCACCGCACTCCAGCTGGGTGACAGAACAAGACCCCATCTCAATTTTAAAAAAAGCTCAAAGCAAAGCCACCTCTTCTCTGAAACTCTGCTAGATAGAGTTAAGCCTCCCTGTGTCTAAACCACTTG